GTTAGTTGTCCACAAAATATCAGGAATGCGATATTTTGACCAGTTTCGGCTATTTGTCTTTTGCTTATTTTATGCTTATTATTTTTTTATAAAAGTCTAGCTGGTTTTACAATAAAAAACAATTAAATTCAGATTTCAAACTTTGTACAAATATTATAAAAATACCTCAAATTTTCAGCAAAATTTCAATCCTTTTAATCAGATCTATAGAAAATTTTAATATGAATACCCTCTGAAGTAAGATAACTGTTTACCCAGAAGAGAAGGATAAAATTATGCCCTGGAACAAAAGTAATATATCAAATTGGTGTAGGTGTTCAGTAGTATGCAGTTTTGTAGTCATTAAATTCTAGTCTGATGATGTGCAAGTTTCAAGTTGGTAAAAAATCCCGTTGATTGAGAATTTTTTTGGTTGATTATACTTCTGTATAACCCACTTCCGATCGAAACCGGAAGTCGTTAATACAACGAAAAGATAGAGTATCCCCGACCTCGTAATTCATATTTTTTCGATTTCCAATAAAAACATTTTCACTTATTTAAGAAGTCCTGGACGAATTGAAGTTCAAAGGTTGAAAAAGGCATTTCTGGGAATAAAGTTTCGAAAAAAGTTAGATATTTTTATGCTCATAATTCGAATATATGTAGTAAAAACACGTATGTCTAATGAAAAAAAATTTAATTCTCGTCAGTTTAACCCACTTCCGGTCGAAACCGAAAATCTGTTATATCACCAACGGAGAGAGCATCCCTGATTTGATAAGTATTTGCGTTTTTCAATAAAAAAAAAAAAAAACATTTCCCTCCATTTTCAAGTGGGTGGACAAAACTGCTCACAATGAAATGGGAAGTCTATTAAGCCATGTCTGTCTATACGCCCGTACGTCCATCTATCCGTCCGTCCGTGTACACGCTTACTCGAGAAAAAATTTAAATATGTCAACGAACTTAGGTAAGGGCACTGCTTTGCCTTTATCCAGGTTGGTAAAATGGATACAATCGACCTATAACCAGGCCCATCTCCCATATAACGGTATTGTGTTGAAAGTAGGAATGTGAAGTAAAATGTTGACTTAAAATAAGATAGTTATACAATGTTCGCTCTGTAGTCACTTTACCAATCCACACCAAACTCGGTGCGGACATTACTTTGAGCAGGGGTGGCGAACCAAAGCACGCGTGCCATTGATGGCATGGAGCAAAATACTTGGGCAACGGTATTAATTGAGGACCCAATTCCTCAATTACTAATACATAGTAGTTACTACATAATCGAAACAGTTTCGTCAGAAGTGCCAAAAATACAGACATTCGATTGTTGAGTTCCAGTGCATCATTCTTCAACATGCTTTGTGTGAAAGACGTAGTTTCGCTTCCGTTGTAATATAATGGGCTGCAAAGTTTATGGTTTTTAAGGATATGTGCCAGCAATTATTGAATCTGAACGCAAAGTTTCAAGGCGCTAATAAAACTGTTATAATTAAAATAAATCTCATTCGCGCTTTTGAAAGTTTGTGGTAAAGATATTGTTTCCAAAAATTACAAATGTTTCCAAACTTAAAGTATTTAAAATCCGATTTGGACTTACATGAAAAAGCAGTCGGAGAAATAGGCGCCGAAGGATTTTCTGTGGTAATAAACTCTGTCTTCGAAAAATTTTCAAAGAGGTTTTCTAAATTTAAGGAGTTATGGGAAACACCCATCTATCCTGATGTGTGAATTCACTTAAAAAACCGAACTTGTCTAAATTTGATTGGTTGGATATAGAGGAATTTGAAATGCTGCTGATTGAGTTCCAGTGTAATTCAATATGGACTAAAAACTTTGTCGAAAAAGGAAAGAGGTTGGAATCAATCGAATTAGAAATACCATCAGTCAATTTGTCCAAAAATGCTAATACCAAAATTTTAGAAACTTGAATTCAATTCCACACATAGTAATTAGCTGTCTGCGAAAACTGGTGTTTGCTATCTTGACAATGTTTTCACAGAGACCTTTAATAGACGCATTATTCGTTCTTTAAAAAAAAATCCGATTTATGTGTCAATTAATGTCTCCAAGAACGGCGATAAGTCATGATTTCTTGTTGGCACGTCATGGCTATATTGAATATTTCTGTGAAATCAATGCCACGTACTATATGTATAAAGGACCCGTTGAAAAATTTTGAAATCAGACAAGAAAACGTCCACCTCCCAAAAAAAAAATTAGACTAAGGGAAATTTTTAGAAAATGGGTGTGGCGCCGTCCACTTACGCCTGCATATCTGTATCTCGGTAACCGGTTTATCAGTTCTACAAAACTCGGTACAGTTATTAACCTTGTATGTTAAAATTTTTAAGATAAGATTAAAGTCTACGACTACTTACCATATGTGTATTTCCAAACTGGCGCACAGTGCTTCGACTATATGGAGGCCGATGGAAATAATAGTACACCTGCACCGATTTCACTGAAACTTGACATGTGCTCTAGTTTTACTTAGAAATAGAGAATTGTGAAATTTTGTAAAGATGGAATAATTGCCACGCCTTCTACTCTTGTGGGCGGAAAAGTTTAAGACTTACAACAGTACGACAGTATACAACACTTTGTGAACTCCCTATTAATGTGAATATTTTATGAAATGTATTCAAACTGTAACAGGGAACATTTAAAAAAATAACAAATGTTTTGTAAATTTTTTCATTTGTATTAAAAGCCTTTCTTTTACGAAAAAATCAAGCTACTAAGAATAAGTAAAAGAATGGTGAATAGGAAAATGAAAATGATAAGTACATGACGTATGCGTAACATTTTCCGACATTTTGATTTTTTTTTTTAATATTTTCATAATCTATAGCTTTTTTTAAATTCGTCCGCCATATCTGCCGTTTTGAATTCCGAAAATTTAATATGATATTCGTATTCAATGACCTGGAGCTAATTGTATAGATTTTTAAACTTCTCTTATGTACACCCCGCTTCACTTGGATAAGTACACATATTTTTCTCAAAATCCAAGCTTGTACCTGGACTTGTGGGCATCAGGGGAGTTTCTTGTTGATCTCATTTGGAAGATTAATTCATTTCGAAGAAAAGTATGGAAAATGAAGAAAATACATGACTTACTTTGGGTTTTATTCCACTTTTTATTAAACTATTCTAAAATTGTGCTTATTATTTTGATTAACTTGAATAGGCACCTTATATGTTTAGCAAAGTTATTAAAATTTCGCTTAAAACCTTTTTAAGAATTAAAATGCAAAAAATGCATAAATGGAGGTCTTCACAGATCCAGGACTTTGCAGGCGATCAGTTGGAAATAAAAGTGAAGGAAACGCAAATATTTTTGACAGCTGAAGCCGGCTCACAGCATTGCATGAAAATAGGCTGAAATGCAGCCAGAACACAAAAGCTAGACGGAAATAACAAAATTCTTTAACGACGTCAGCATCTTATTGTCAAGATAGTGGACCAAATGACACCACAAGGGAAGTATGGATTACTCTATACATACATTTGTGTTCAGAAAATGTCCGAAAAGACAAATTTTATTATATAGCCTTAAGAATTATGACTGGAATGTTTTGCAACTCACATGCCTGAAAGGACAACTAGAAAATGGTGGGCTTATCTGGCGAAATGCTTAATTTTGATGACTGCAATGAATTCAATTTTTCAAAAGACGGACGTTGTTTGTTTCCCCTCCATGATCAAGAAGAGAGTATGGCGGTTTGAACTGCGATTTTGTAGTCCAGAGCGGTTGTGAAAGTGAAATTCGTATTATGAGCAATGCAAACGTGTCGAAATTTTCGTTGAGTATGGAGTTTTCTGTCGAACAGAATTTTGCTTTCGATGGTGTAGCGAAATGTTAGAAAATTTTAAAAAATGTATGATTTTGCATTTGTTTTCTTACTTTTTAGCGGCTAGACACTAATTTTAAAAAATTTTTATTAATTTTATGCAGTTCTAACGTTGTGAATACTAAACACAAGCTCGGAACGCTGGTTTTACGTGTGAAAGAAAATCTCAATACTCAGTTGGCACGATCTCTGAGAACAAAATCATAGAGCTGTTTATAGTTTTATTATATTTTATATAGATAGGATCACAAAATTTCTTAAATATGTATGTCGAAATATATTCGAAAGGCTACACTTAAACTCTCTTAAACGTTTTCTGCTCCTGGCCAGTTTTCTAAGCTCTCAACGTCTGACGAATCGTTCAATCAGAACTCCGTTGTGCTAATTTTACCGCGTTTTTATAAACTCGCTATCTTTTTTATTTCATTTTAATTTGCACAAATTTACATAAATATGTAAAGCAGACTATTTAGTTTGCTCGATTTGTAAACAAAGCTTGTCAGCGGCGAAAAATATACTATTGTGAACAACCTCATCGAATGAGGGCCAAAATACGAAATAAAAAATTCGTTCGATCAGCACTTTCGACCATAGTCGAAAATGGAATGCAACTCATAATAGGGGCCAATATTTCAATTTTCGAAAATTACGAATAATTCATGCAAAAACAAGTATTAAGGACATTTTTTTAACATTTGTCGCATATTTTCGCACCTTGTTATTGAATATGCTAGCGAAATTCGCACTACAGGAGGAGTAAAAACGAGGATGGCGAAGCAAAGTCGTAATTTTCTCAGAGCTTGTCCTATTCACACTACCACTTTTCTATTTAATTGAACATTCTTCAATATGAGATCAAAAAGAAACTTTTCCGATGGCCAAAAAATCCAGATATAAGTTCAGATTTGAGGAAAAATGTTTACCTATTCAAGTGAAGCGGAGTGTATGTACTATGTATGTTAAAAACTTTTAAGCTTTCCACTCAGATTTGTTTCATTCTTCATATATGTATGTACATAACACATTCATATTTCAACTTATGCATAACCAACATTTTCCAGCATACTTATCTGTATTTTCTCTTTTATATGTCTTTTTCCATGCACGCTTATCTTTAATGTTTATCCGCTTCTCCGAAACATTTACGCAACTCAGTATTTCTGAATCCATCCGACTTTGATTATCTACTTACAAAAGGCAATAACAGCGCGCCAATTGATCGTAGTTCGATTTTATTGAAATTCGATCCATTACTCGGTGTGCCAGTACCTGCAAATCAAATCCAACAACTACCAGCAAAACAATCGCCACAAATATTCCAATTGCTGGGCAATAATCTAGCCAATCTAGGTCCTACAATCGAAGAGGACGAACACTCATCATCGGCGTCCTTATCATCGAATAGCAATAATCAATCCTTTGTTGTTGAGGCAGAAAATAAGCGTATATCGCTCGGTCTTAACCTACTGAACGAAAGCTGTGCCAACGCGAAGCAAACTTTTACTAAAGTTTCAACTGAAAAACAGCCAATTAAGGAACAGAAGCAACAACAGCAGCAAGTAGTAAATTCAAAGGTGAATTATCTAATTTGAAGTTCGCATTATTTACTTTGATAATTTATTATTTCTTTATTTGACAGAAGCATGCCAGTATGAGTGTCGACGTGATTAAGGATATGAATATCGATAACGATTGCAACAAATCATTTGAAAATTCCAAGTAAGCAAATGTTGATTTTGTTTTGTTTTGTTTGTTTTAGATATGAAACGAAAAGCAAGTCTTAAGTTCAGTCAGTTTTTTCGTTGGGATCGATAACACGGTGTACAAAATTAAGAAAACTCACGAACCTTTTAAGTAGTTTACAAAACTGTTTAGAAACTTTCTACACGCCTGAAATTTTCAACTTATTCCGAAAGAAGCCATTTTAGTATGACTTCTCGGGCTAAACAATTTTGTGAATGAGTCGTTTGTTAGGCAATTTTAAGTGTAAATATGGACTTAAAAAGAATGTTTAGAATTGTTTATTAAAGCAGAAGCTTAGCAAGAATGGGAAATTTGAATTAAATCTCAAACTTACGCCCTTTTTTCCTTTGTAATATAAACACCTTTTACTAACGGTCAAATCTTGAAAAGAACACTAAACCCTATTGGTTAGAATCAAGGGAAAATGGTAATATTTTTTAGGTGGAGGCAATCCCTTTTCATAATTTTACAAAGAAAATGGCAAATATGGTTCAGGCATAATGAATTGAATATGTGCTTAATTAAGAATAAAATGTTAAAAAAAAATCTGATAAAATGATAAAAACATAACATTGATTTAAATTTTAAACTAACAGTCAGTCGCAAGGGCCGCGTGAACGTGCCATTCGAGAGGTCCGAGTTCGAATCCTCCGGCAGCGGATTTTTTCCTAGTGTTTTCTTTTTTTAATTTAATTTTCTTTTCATGTTTGGTTTAAAAAAAAAAATGCATATGTTTTTTAATTTCATTTAATTTTTAGAAACTTTTTTATTTACTCCTTTGATTTAATTTTCAGATCTTACTGTTTTAAGAATAAAAAACATTTTTTTAATATCATTTAATTTTTAGATTATTAAAAAAAAAAAATTTTTAAATTTAATTTAATTTTTAATAACTTGTTTTTTTATCTTTCTCAATTGATTTTTTTTAATTTTTTGATTTTATTGTTTTAAAAAGAAACATTTGTTTAATGTAATTTCATTTAAAAACTTATTTTATAAATTTCTCCTTTTGTAATTGATATTAATTTTCTGGCTTTATTTATTTATTTATTTATTTATTTATTTATTTGGTCTACAGAATGTTTTCTTACAGACAAATGAGAATAGAACATTTAGATATTTAAGTATGTGTGGTATATTACAGAATTGACTAATTATACATAGAAATTTATAATAATAATAATAATAACATAAAATAGCAGGTTTGGTAGCTGGCGAGGCCCAGTCTTCATTGTACTTTTGTGTGCGGCGGGCGGAAAGACCTAGTTTCCGCTCCACGCTGCGGACAGCCTGTTGATCAAGGTCGGTAAGGCCGGGTTTCCGATCCATGTTCCCGAAGACATTACTTTGAGTGTGTGGCAGGGGGAAAGCTCTAGTTTCCGCTCCGCGCTGTGGACAAGCTGTTGATCATGGTCGGAAATGCCGAGTTTCCGATCCATGCTCGTATTGTATTACGCGGTCCCGAAAATATACGAAGCCGATTACAATTGTACTAAGCAGTCATAGATATTGTGTAATTTATCGTTCCCGGTTAAAGATATTAATTTATTTAGTTACAAAAAAGCGAATACTTACTTCTCTTTTAATTTTTGGTTTTTGTTTTAATAACGCTAAGACCTCCTAGTTCGCGGATCTTTTAAATAAGTCTTTCGAAAGACAGTGGGGAGTTGAAAGGCAGTTGCCAGAATTGAACCGTAAAACTGCTTGACAAATATCTGAAGTAAAAAAGTGTTATTCCGGTTTTGTATAAACAAGTTGAGATTTTCAGGGTAACGAACAAAAGTTTATTTTCTCTGTTTCACAGTGCAATTGACCCCATAACTTTAGCATTAATATTTCACTATGAGCCTGCAGTTCTCAGTTGATAGCATATCGTCGTTTAAAGTGCAAAACCGCGTATCAACAAAATGCAAAACCGCGTATGTGAAGTTGTAGAAATTATTTTCTAGAGCGTAAAAACTCTCATATTTCAAAATGGTTCTCTTTTTTATAAAGCAATGCATCTCTGGCTAGTATATTTCAGGACGAATGGATAAGGATTGAGCCAAGAGCTTGGGTGAGCCAATTTTTGGCAGCCAATGTCAGTTACGCGGTTTTGCAGAATCACGATACGTGGTTTTGTACTTTAAATGACGATATGTATGTAGATAGCAGATTTTTATAGTTTATGCTGTTTGCACCACAACAAAAGTCTTCTTTTTTTAAACCGTTAGGGAAAAATTATTATTTACCAGTCGATAAAAATTGTGTTACTGTAGGCTTGAAGATTTCTTATTTTCTTCTGTACTCATGCGTAGTTTGATAATTCATTCCCTGGCCATTTCGCTAAATAATATAAATAATATTCGTTGTCGCCTTTTTGGTTACTCCTTGAAAGCCCATCTCAACAATTCTTTATTTCTTTTGTTGTTACAACATAAAAATTCCCCCAAGTAGTTTTTGGCGAACGATGCTGGAATATATCTGAATTTTTCCGGTTATGTGTACCCGACTGCCGTGGGAACCACCATAAACACATCTCTGTGCGCGGTTGAATTTCTTTAATAGTGATAGTGTACACATATAGCACATTTATTAAAAAAAAAGATCTAGTATAACTATTCACTCATTAAAACCATTTTAGTCATTATTAAGTTGTTTATATTTCATTTATGCCACAGCTCACAAACCGATGAGAAACAAATTAATTACAAGATGGATGAACTCGAGAAAAAAATTAAAAATGAAGTGTAAGTGCGTTTTTATGATAAATGTAATAAATTCAAGCTCAATTTAAGCACTAGCGCCACACAATTTCTTGTTATGCTAATTAGTGTAGGTGTATCTTAAGTGTTTGCAAATGTGTTGGATAAAATGTTTTCGTTGCTAAAAAAAAATATATATATCTTGCTTTATAAGGCATGTTCGACCTTGCTATTTTTTATATATAAATACATTTTTTCGTCAAACTTAAATCCAAAATTTCATTAATATGCATTTCCTAACATAGACTCAAAACAGAAGATATCGAAAAGAAACTAAAAGAAGCTGAGCAACGGGAGGAGGCGTTAATCAAGCGGATAACAGAAAAAGACAAAACAATAACAAAAATGACGTAAGTGCTTAATATGTTAGCGCCCACTCGCAATTTTTCTCTTCATACAATTATGCCATATTCGTAGTTTTACGAAATGTTTATTTCCGTTATGCATATATGCATGTATAAGTATGTATGCAAAAAGTCAAATTTTGTATCTTTTTTTATGTAGCGGTGTTATTGAAGCATACGAAAAAGCGATTGCTGAGCTAATCGCCGAGAAAGAGCAATTAATACAAAGCTACGAGAAACAACTGGCGGAGGTGAAGGCGGATCGCGACTCAAATTATCAGCATCTCACATCTCTCGAAACGACATTTGCCGATCTGCATGTGTAAGAATACAAAGCACATAGTTTTATTTTATTTTTTACTGATTACTGACCTCTATGTAATCCTTTCTTCAACATTTTCAAACAGTAAATATGGCAAAAGCAAGGAGATGACACTACAGCTGAAGTCAAACGAAGAAGCTTTGGTGGCAGAAAAGCGACAAATACAGGAAAATTTGCGATTACAAGGGCAGCGTTATGACAAAATGAAGAATCATGCGATGCAACAGCTGGAAATGTAAGTACACTTGCTTCCATTTTTTTTTTTACTTATACAAATATGAATGTAATAACTCTAACCGCATCGATTGTTATTAAACAGTGCCAACAAAAAGCTTGAATCGCTAACCAAGGAGCACAATATCGAAACGACAAAACTGAAAGCATTGCTCAAAAAAGAGGAAATATCACGAGCCTCAATCAACGAGCAGCTGCAACAGAAGTCGCGAGAAAATGCGGAGTTGGTTAAGATATGTGATGAACTAATTAATGGACAAGGAAGTTAAGTGGTTTGAACGCAAGGCGCCCCCCCATCAAAATATAGACGTCAGCACAGCGACCTATCCACAGTTCTGTCGCATAGTTTTTGTTGACGTGCATATATGTATGTACATGTGTACTCTCGCTCGATGTACTATGTGTTTATTGTAATTGTTATGTAAGGCCAAAGAGCGAGCGAAATGGGGCATTACATTACAATTAACAGTTAGTTAACGTTATTTAAGTTGCCTGATTAGCATGCAATGACGGTGGTGACCCGTTGCGCTTAGGAAATGCATTCATTCAGTGCGCAGTCATTCACAAACGTCTGTGTGATTAATTTAAGAAATTGCTCTCATTTTAAATATAAACTATAGTTATTAGAATTTTTTTCACTCATTACTCTCCAACGCTTACATTCACATCTAATTTTCTTCTTTTTTACTTCTTTGCTACATATATAGTAATTGTTAAGTAATTTTTTGTATGAAAATGGAAAAGGAATATGTAAGCAAATGCATTTTAAAACAACTGCAGATAACTTCAATCAGAAAACAATATACATATATACAGACATTTAATCATAAATATTACCTCGGTACATAGTAAACATACGTGGAAGGAGGCATATAAAAAATAAAATGATTATATGTTAGTTATTGTATGTAATGTAGTTGTAACTGTATACGCTCTTTACAATTTGCTTAGGTATGCTGTGAATCTACTAATATGAATTTCTCTCTTCAAGGAAAACTAACTGTAAAATCTCTTTAAATCGTAATTTGCTTGTTAAAATCAAAATGTTAAGAATTAATTTATACTGAACTGTATTAATACGTAGGCAGTTAAATCGCTTTTAGTTTTCTACATCCACCAACCGAGACTAAAATAGCAAATAATTGAAAAATAAAATCGAAATAATTTAAAAGTAATTGGCATTTTATAAATGCGCTTATAATTATTTTATTCACTTTTTTGGATGCCAAACACATTTTGCTCGAATAAAACTTGGCATATAAAAGCCGAAAATAATGGATTTAGAATTCATACAAAAGTATGGATCCTTGTTCGTAACCGCATGCTGCCGCATAAGTGCAGAGAAACGTTATCTTTTATTTCTAAACTATAATTTATGGAAGTGTTCGAATCTAGGGCCTAAATCGGAATTTTACCCAAATGAACATTTACATCAGTTATAGCTAAAAATAATACAATAGGCCTTTGGTTTGCAGTAAATATCGCAGTAATGCATTCACGAGCAAGGGATTATAAGAGCGCTGGCATTGTATTGAAGCAATATTCTAGATTTTTTTAAATGTGTTCATCGAATAATAATAATACTCTGCACAATTTGCAAGCTCTGCTATAAGTAATGCCCCACATGGAGGGATTTGGTACGTGCATTGCATGCAGCTAATTTGATTTGCGCACAATTACTTTTTGCTGCTGTATGCTCGTATTCTCAAACATTACAATTACAAACAGTAACTCATTATATACACGCTATGTAGTCGAATGATTTTTCAGCCTTTATTTTAAAAGCTATTTTGTGGAATGTTTCGCTTTCAATTTTATCTAAGAAAAATGAAAGCAGTGTCATAGCAGCGAACATTTCCTGGTAGCGGTGGTATTAAATTAAAACTTTACTACAAACATGCTTTCTTGTTTATACTCGGTGCTAACTCTGCATCCATCGTAGGTTCGAGCATTGGAATTTATAATCTGTATACTATGGATCAGTACTAGCGCCGAATGTGCATGAAAATTCATAAAAGTAGGCACTCGACCTACAAATCGCCAGTCAAACACATAAATATCGTGGTTATCAATGCAAAAGGCATATTTCGTTAGTTTGCTTCCGTGATGTATGTACTACCATAGAAAAATTCAAATCCCAATCTTAAAAATTACGGGATTTATGGTTAATAGCGCGTATTTTCATTGATTATGATATGTTCTGCATGTATTATATCTGCAACAAAACAGAACGGATTGAATGCTGCAATGCCGCGCTGCTATTTTTTGTTTAACTTGTTAAGTTGACGTTATTTCTTAGTTGCTATATTTAATAGAAAATATTTCTTTTTACCTTTCGTTGCAATTGTTGATTACAAAATATCTATTCTCAAACGTATGTATAATTTTAAGATCAATGCTAAAATTTAAAAATATCTTCCAAATACATAATTTACAACGCATAAACAAGAAAAATTTAATCCTTTATAAAGTTATCTTAATAAAAAAAATTAACTACTTTATTACTCTCGAAACTTGCACACACGCACACACAGCAGGTAAAATCCAACATTAAATCGTTTTTCTACACTTGTACTTACTTACATATAATAGAGCTGAGAACGATCGTATCTACCTTTCTATAATGCAATTCGTTGCAATTTATATAAAGTAATAAATACAAGTGGAATTCGTTCTTGGTTGGCATTGCATAAATGGCCCCTTTCGTTAACTCATCTCATGCTGTAGTATTAAAATATGTAGAAATAAGATACGTAATGAATGCGTTGCTTATCAATAATCAAAGAATATCGCATCCATTTGCCTCGAAACCAAAATAATTAAACTTCACTCAAAATTCTGATTCTGGCAAAATTAGTGCAAAAGAAAATTAAGAATCAAAAACAAATATTTTTTTAAGAAACTAACCTTTATAAGAAACTAAATACATATGCATTCGTACACAACTGCATACAACCATACACACCTACATAAATACGTATAATTCAATATAAAACAAACTCTTCTATAAGATTTTGCATCAATCCACTTATGTTACTTATGGAATGTTTTTGGGTTGATGGCTGTGAGGTGCAGAGTCTATTTATTCTCTTGGCAATCGTACGGGGTGAAGAAGTGTGGCAGATGAAGGGAAAATGACTTGTATTTAAGTATTAAATAATGAAGAAAAAATACAATATACATACATATAACTGAATTGCACATTGTAGTTGATCTAAGAGTGACATACATACATAAGTTTAAAGAGAAGTTGATTTAACCCTGAATGATATTATAAATCATAAAGAAAATATAATATTAATAAATACTTATATACAATGGAATATATATGTACTGGGACCTTTTTTATAACAATACAGACATTCGAAAGGTGGGTTAGTATGTTCAAAGTCCTTAAGACTAATTGTCTTTTTATAAGATGACTTTTCCCACTGCAAGTTTTTACCTGGAATCTTTTTCTCGAAATGTTTTTTTAATTTTCCATGCCTCCGCGCTATACACCAGCACAGGCATGGTGAGTGGCTTATAGAGTATGTTTGTGTACGCAGCGTCTGTTAATCAGTAGGTGCGGCTGCAAGCGGGTGTCTGGAGCACGCGGCTCACTATATAAACGTGTACGCTGGTTTTGGGACCCGCTACGTAAAAACAGGCTCCAATGAAAAAGAGACACAAAGCCTTGGATTAGAACCGCCCGTTTGATGAAGACCAAGGCAAAGTTTAAAGGACTACGATTTGAGGGCATACACCTGGAATGTCCGGACCATTCATGGGGCCTCAGCCCAGCTGGTTGATGTCCTCGTAAGGACAAAAGCTGACATCATGGCCATCCAAGAAATACGTTGAGCCGGGCAAGGCAGAAAATGTCTGGTGCCTTGCGACGTCTACTACAGCTGGCATGTAAAGGAGCGCAAGTTCGGTGTTGATTTGTGGTGGGAGATACTCCGTCGCCCAGTACTGTCGTTCACACTGGTGGAAGAGCGTGTCTAGCCATAATCCGCATTAAAGCGAACTCTTGTAAGAACAAGATTGGCGATACAGTGATTAATGTCCAGAACGTACTTAAATTCTGGAGGGAATACAAACAGTTAGCGCATTGCGCACCTTGGCTCTCACGTCACTGTTGAAAATTTCGAGAAAGTCGAGAATTCGTTTACTTGGGAACCAGCATTAACACCGATAATAACTTCAGCAATAAATTTCAACGCAGTATCATTGGACTGATTAGGCAATTAAGGAGTAAAGCCCTCTCGTACGAAAACCTCACTATAAGTCACTTATCATGAGGGCTCTTGGAGTATTCGAGAAAAATATTTTGCGGAAGAATTACGGGTCTTTACACGTTGGCGATGGCGGGTACCGCAGACGACGGGACGATGAGCTGTATGAGCGAATTAAAATTCAGCGGCTCTGCTGGCTTGGCCATGTTGTTCGATTGAACTCCTACTCTCCACTAGTGGTAGCAGAGGAAGAGGGAAGAAAGACCAAGTGGAGAAGGACCTAGCTTCACTTTCCTTCAAAAAATTGGGCAAACGTTCGAAAATTGTCTTCGATATCCAATAAGAATATCGACCTAAAAACGAACTTATAACCAGCCTTAGATTTCCAACGTTCATAGAATATTGGAAATACACTCCAGCTCGAAAAAAAATTAAAGCCATAGTAACAAGAGAGAGAGTGAAATTCAGCTCATTCACGAAGGGAAATATAAGACAATAGCGAAGGAAAAATACATTGGATAACGAAGGTTCCGTTTTTCTGGAGAATGGCCTACTTTTCGAATCGAATACTAACCTATTCCACATTAGTTATCGAAGGTGCGACTCGAAAAAATGTATGTATGTTTTCCAATAATTTACGAATTGTTAACCAATCCCGGTTTATTGGGTTGGCATTTCCATTTGGGGTCAGTTGGGCATAGAAGAGAAACGACTGGCGTGCTTTGTTGGACTCGGCAAAAACCGCTTAGGCGGTTACAGTGCCAAATAAGAGAGAGAACTTTACTCCTCAACTGCCTACTCAGTCCAAAGCATTGTATAGGCTCATGATACAAAAAAGAAGGTAGGTTCAATAAACAACTTTTGACGGATAATAAAATTTTTTGAAATAAATCGGAGTATTTTCTTTCCCATATTTATACCAATGTAAGATTTCAAATCAAAAACCATTATTAGTGCTTGATACTTTTTTTTTACTTACGTGGTTCGCACCTTTTTTTTATTAAAAATATTTAAAATGTAAACTGTTAAAGGAGACTTCATCGTAATTGTTCTTTTCATTTTGTAATAAAAACCACGCGCGCATTCTGTTATTTTTTTGTTTTCTTATTTTGAATGCAATCTTGCGATTTAAAAGTCGAATTCTAAAGAATGTTCTTCCCAAATAAAACCTTTTTATATTTTGGTTCAAATTTACTTTTACATTTCTCATCAGATTTTGCAAAATAATTAGGCTTTGTGATTAGCGCATCATCGTTAAATTTCACAAATTTTTAGTTTATGCAAAACACCTGAAGTCGGCTTGAACAGACCGCCCTCCGATAAACAACTAACGGATCGTGGCTTAAAGTACAAAACCGTGTATCAACAAAATGCAGAACTGTGTATGTGAGGTTGCATAAATTATTTTGTAGAGTAAAAACACTCATATTTCAAAATGGTTCTCTTTTTTACAAAGAAATCGCATTTCAGGACGAATGGATAAGCCAAGAGCTTGTGTGAGCAAATCCAATTTTTGGCAAAAAATGTCAGTTAGGCGGTTTTGCAGAACGACGATACGCGATTTTGTACTTTAAACGACGATATGTAAGTATACACTTTCTTCATACTTTCTGAAACCTAGTCGTCAACCCCATATTCGAAATCATGTAGCCGGCATAATTTTCTAGTTCATCATATTCCACATCTTTGAATGTACTGATAAAATCTTCTGTTTAAAAAAAAAAATATTTCTTCTAGTGATCAGGTAGCATGAATTTGATGAAATGTCATAATTTTATTAAAAGTCAAATGGTTAACAACAACAACGAATATTATTAAATGAAACTACCTTCTTTTTTGTATCATGGTATATACGATGGTCCATGATAAAAAAATAGGAATGTAGAACCGCTGAGAAAAATTTTTCAAATTCTTGACGTTTGCAAGCAATTTAATTTTAAAATTTTACACACAAACTCACACACACATTAGTTGCGTTCGACAAGTCAAAAATTTGTAATAGTTTTCCCAAATTTTTACTGGATGGCGTTCGATAACGACCAAAAATTATCCAACACATAAAAATTGAGAGAGCAAGCGTTCATTTTGATGCAAGAGGAGCGTTCATTTTGTACTGGCAAAATTTTACTCAGCAAAAATTATTAGTTGCGTTCGATAACAAAATTAGCCAACACCAGCCAACAATCAAAATCAAGAGAGTAAGCGAAAATTCTCTCCCAAAGAGGAGAAAAAGCAAAAAAGTAAACGAACAGGAAATTAGCCATCACTTGCAAAAACCGGATGAAGAAGACACACCAGCTGACTTTGTTTATGTTTTATTTGTAAACAAACTGAAATTCATGTTGCCTCCGTAGAGAAAAAAGGAAAGTGAACGTTCAATGTTCGCCAGGAACATTTCTAGAAGTAACAACTAGTTACTAGGCAGCCAAAAAGCATATAAATACCAAAACTCGGAATATGCAATTTTGTTTGTTTACAAAAATTGCAACCATATGTTTTCTGATCATATGTTTTCGTGTTGGATAATTTTTGCTGACTAAAATTTTGCCAGTACAAAATGAACGCTTCTCTTGCATCAAAATGAACGCTTGCTCTCTCAATTTTTGTGTGTTGGATAATTTTTTGTCGTTATCGAACGTCATCCAGTAAAAATTTGGAAAAACTATTACAAATTTTTGACTTGTCGAACGCACCTATTATTATTATTTTATTATTATTATTATTATTATTATTTTTTTATTATTATTATTATTATTATTTTTTTATTATTATTATTATTATTTTTATCATGGTCCAAAGTTTCACTTATTTCTCGCGCAGAGAGAGAAATATAACAACAGCCAAGTGGAAGAAAACTAAAGACATTTTTAACAAATTCAATATTTTTTGTAGTTTTATTCAGTTTCATACATATATTTTATGCACTCAATAAGCGCCAAGAATGGATCTTTGTTAGCCTTTTTAACAGATTTGCGCCATAGGTATTCAACAAGGATATCGGCGAATTTACCGGTGTGGTTGGCCCGCGTGGAGAAAAAACGCTTAACATCCGCCCACTGGGACTCAATTCTCTGGGTACGGGTTACATCTACAACATCGAGCAAAAGGTGGGTGAATCCAAAATCAGAAAGGCCCTCAAATGCACCCAAGCAATCCGTTCGTATGGTGGTACCCTCGGCGACATGCTTTTTAATAAGCGGAATGAGGACTTTCGCTGACCGCACATTGTCTGGGCATACCTCCAGCCGTAGGTCCTCGCTTTCATCCTCAATCATGCCCAGCAACCAGTGATCCTCCCCCTGGTTGCCTAAAAATAAAATAAAATATTAAAAATATAACTCGCAAAAAAACCCAGACAAAGCTTACCGTCATTTAATTTTCTTTTACCGAATTTTCTCTTGTTAATCTGCACTATCCGGCCTGGACCACCAATTTCTCCAGACGCATCTTGGTGGTCCAACTGGTATATTACCACCGCCTCGCGGCAATAGTTATACCAGTCGGTGATAGTACTAGATGACAGAGTTTTCCCCTCCTCGCAAAAGTCCTTACGTTGGACTGTTTCCTTGGTTAAATTTTCAACGAAGCAGTACATGAGATAAAAAATATGCGGTACACTAATTCTAGTTTGCTCGAACCACGTCCCAGCCGCAACAGAAACTCGGGGCCTCGACATGCAGGTTCCTCTACGGCATACGAAAAAACCAAATTTTCCGCCTTTTGACCTATTCATAAGCGTTTTATGTATAGGACAGACCATGGTTTTAGGTATTAAACCATGCTTTTCTGCAAATCGAGCCCCTTGGTCGGGTGTTCGTAGCTCCGATACTATTCTTTCGTAATTCCAAGCGTCATCTTTTCTACGGGCAGCGCATGTAGACGGCATATCATCTGAAGAGAATATAATTCTTATTTATTTATGTATGTATGTATGTATCACGGTAGTATGTATGCAAAATGTATTCAACGCCTTAATAATACGTTTTGTATGTACATATCGAGCCCTAACCGCCAAAATAACGTAAGCGACACTTTTTTCAAAATTTTCTTTTTGATGCAGAAATATTCCTAGAGCATCTAGATGCATTTCTGCATCAAAAATAAAATTTTGA